TAGCCATTCCAAAACCAAAACAGCCAGATGTTGGCTCTGGCATTGTGAATTTTGAAACAGGTTTGCAGCAGTGGATTGCTTCTCTGAAGCAAGTCTGTCCTGGAATGATTGATCCTGCTGCCTCAGACCAGCTCTGGTCACGTTTCAGAATTTGGGTACGTGCTGAAGCCCTCAAGTTGCAGGATATTAACTATGAGCAGGCACAACAGAACTTCAGCAAGCTGCTGAAGGAAGTTGAAAGTCAGCTGCCACAGGAAGACGTGCTCCTTCTGGATAGTGAGCCATGGTCTGAGAAGCGCCCAACTTCAAAAGTGCAGCCAGAAGAAGATCATACAATTCAAGCTGAAGTCAGTCAAGCTGAAGATGTTGCAGAAAGCTCTCAGAAGCTTCCTGCTTCTGATGTTTCTCAAGCTGCCCTGGACAGGCAGACTCTGGAAGAGCTGAAGCTGAATGATATTCGTCTGCAGCAAAGAATGGATGAAAATGATCAGAAGATGGAGGAAAGGATGGATGTACAGGACAGCAAGATAGATACAGTAGTCAGCATGGTGCACAAGCAGACTGAAACTGCTGATCAGATTAAGGCAATGCTGGAGACTCTGTTCACACGCTTTCCTCCCCAACCTTAGTTTTTCATTCATGATATTTTCAATGTTTTTCTTTGCATATCCTTTGTATTGTTTTGTCTGGCTCTGAATATTTTAATATAACAAGTTTTTCTGCTCTGATAGTTTTAGCACATCACTTACACTTTTTGATTGCTGACAAAAAGGGGGAGAACAAGAATGATATTTTTCAATAACAGATTACTAAGACAAAAAGTCTCAAACATTCTAAATCTGATATACTTGAATGTTTTCTGTTTTTGCATAAGTCTACAGGTACAAGAATGCTCTCTGATACACTGAATCCCAAAGCCCTGATACTCTGATCCAAAGCAAAGCTCTGATAAAGCTCTGATATTCTGATCTGAAGTTCTGATAATCAAAGCTCTAACATTCTGATGTTCAAGAATTCAATAAAGATCTGATCTTGAAGAACTCTTGGAATTAAAAAGGGAAGTAATAAATTCAGGGGGAGTATCTCCGATCCTATCTCTGATATCTCCTTATCCCTTATCTTTGATAACTCCTTATTTAATTCTGATGCAACTTATCATTTAGTTATCTCTGATACTTTTTCACGCTATTTTCAATTAAAAAATATCTAGTTTTTGTCATCATCAAAAAGGGGGAGATTGTTAGAACAAAGTTTGAATCTACTACCCTAAGTTTAAGTTTTGATGATAACAAAATGAAAAGATATATTAATTATGTGTTTCATGTAAGAACTATTTGCTACCTAAAATATTACTTTCTGTTTTGCAGAAACTCTGATAGGTATCAGCAAGAGTACATCATAATCAGCATCAGAATATTGGATATCAACATCAGCATCAGAAGATGCTATATCAGATACCAAGATCAGAAGAACAACTCACGCTTATGCTGAAGCTTGATGAACAGAACTGCGCTCAACACTCTGAACTCTGATAAAGACAACAACAGTTCATCAGCACTTAAGCAGCATCAGAATGAGCCAAAGCCAGAACACGCCTTAGTTGCAACGGTACTGTGCATTCAAGACGAGTTATTATCAACGGCATCATTCCAGACAAGATCTGCTTAATAAGGAAAGATTGTTATTGGCATTGAATCAGAATTATTGCTCCAACGTTCACTAATTTCAATGCTATATAAACAAGTCAATGAAGATTGAATTGGCTAATGCTCTACAACAATTTCCACGCCTAAAAGCTATTCATCATCTTCTTATTCTCAGTTTGCTAAAAGCTCCAAAAATTCCTTACTCAATTATTTTAGCAATCTAGTTTCCATAAGCTTAAGTTGTGTAATATCACAGTTGTGATAAACTGTTTTGTAGAAAACATTCACACACCTAGATTTCAATTCTTTGTAAGAAAGTGATTCCTTGACAAACCGATTTGTGGTTTGCATCAAGAAGGCTTTAGCAGTTGTTAAAGCAGATTGTAATATTCAGTTGAATATAGTGGATTAAGACCTCGTTGGAGAGAGGCGAAATCACCTTGACGGGTGGACTGGAGTAGTTTGAGATCAAACGAACCAGGATAAAAATATCGTGTTCATTGCATTGATTTTCAGTTTTACAATTCAACCCCCCTTCTTGTGTTTTTCACTTCTTCAGTCTCTTCCATTCCAAATCATCAAACTTGCTTTATTCAAACAAAGCCCAATCGTCTTATTTCGAATCATAATATCAAAATCTTCAGCCAGCAGAGGGAGAGAGGAGAACTTTAATTTTTGGTAACTGCTTCCATATATAGAGTCCATTTAGTTGAGGAAAAATAGGTAACGTTCCAAAATTCTCGTTACTGAAGCGTGGAGAAAATCCAGGTGAACGTGCTTTTAGTACGCTTCAGTGGCGAAAGGTTCGTAACTGCTTGGATCGTGGCGAGCGTGGCGTGTATTGTGACGTGGGGCACATGATTCATATTTGTCCCGGTCGTAACATTAGACATGCCGAGGGGCACGAAAGAGAAACTTGTCCCTGTCGTAACACCTTGTGGCAGGTGGCACACTTTTACTTACATAAATGTTGTGTTTTGCTGTTTAATAGCCATTTCTTCTTAATTTTTTCTATTCTTTTTCTTCCTTTTCTCATTTATGCCTTGCAAATGCTAAGTACCTGAAATATGTTTCAAAAATTACAAAAAGGGATAAAACGTGACATAATAATTGAAGAATCAGATATTTAATCTATGTAATTCGGGCGAAAAATACTATATCTTTTTGGGTTATCAGTTCCCCTTTATCTAAAATTTGTATAAAAAATGTTGAAACTTTAGGTATGGAGTTCCTCTTCTAGGGTTGCCTCTTCCTCTCAAACTCATTCTCTTCTAGTTAGTTGACTCTCAATAACTCGCTAAATCTTCGATAAATTTTAAAGACAACGAGTGAGATGCATGAAACATTTTAACAAGGGAATATAATATTTTAAAAGAATTTAATGATTTAGAAATTTTTTATTGTTTTGATAAAACAATATGAAAAATGGTTAAATTGATAAAAATCTATTAGATATTTTGTCCAAATTGAATTTGATGATTTTGAAATGACATCTAAATTAAAGAATTTAAATTCCTCTGAAATTCCATAAAATGTGAATGTTCAAATTGAATGTTATTATTAATTCAAAATTTGCAAGTTGATCCTTGTATTTTCCATATTTTACAATTTGACCCTTAAAATTATCCAATTTTTTGTAAATTAGTCCGTAATATTTTACAAATTTTACAAATTGTTCCCCTTAATGTTTAGAAATTGCAACTTAATACCTATAAGTTTTCTAATTTGATCCATTTTTTATATATTTATAAGAATGATCACAAAAATTTAACAATGAATAATTCAATTACTCCATCCAAATAAAAAAAAAGTGAATTTCAATTAAATAATTTAAATTGTTTAAAATTTAAAATTTCTTAAAAAATTATAATTATCTCATTCATATACACTATGAGTAAGGCTTATAAACTTGGTATGTTTGTTAGTTAGCACTGTAAAATTTTAGAAAAATGAATTCTAAAGGATTATGTTTATATTTTGATGTGTATTTATATATTTTTTAAAACAAATAGAAATATTATATTATATTCTAATTTATTATATTATTTTTTAATCTTTTTAAAATATTAATATGTATTAAAATATGAATATAACTTTTCAAAATTCTTTTCTCTCTCCTCTCAAAAATCAAATCTCAAAAAGATTTTAAAATAAAATTAGGTGTTTATGACCAACAAAATGTAGTGTTTTAAAACATTTTTTTTTTTAGTTTATTTAAACCAAATGTCGTGTCTACCAATTTGATCAACCTAAGTTAACTTTATTATTTCCTCTTCATGTTGTGTCTTTAACCATTTAAAAGGGAATACAAGAATTGTGTCAAATTTCAAGTCAATGGAGTATGAGAGAAGACGTTTCTTATTATATTGTGTGAAATTAGTAATGTAGAAAATGCATAATTTTAAGAACTATACTAATTTTTGGATAAAACTTAATGAAGTGGATTTGCTTATTATGTATTTACCGCGTAAGAATTTAATTATTATGAGAAAAGAATCTTCCTCACTATCACCACTCACTTTCCACGAAATTCACATAAGGTTACTCTTGTACTATATTATTTATACTTTTATAAGCTGTTATCAGTCTCTATCACTCTATTAATGTTATAAATTAGGAGTAATAGCTACATACAAATTCTATTTTTTTTCTCCCCAAAACATAATATTCCTTATTTCTCCATTACTTTTAAATAAATAAAATTATAATAATTCTAATAAATTAAATTAAATTTTTGCAACTTGTCAACACTAATATTTTTATTTTAATTTTTATCCACCAATATTAGAAAAACTAAAATAAAATACTCTATATATTAGAGAGTTCAATTTTAATACAAATCAATTTTAAAAAGACTAAAACAAATATTTGCAAATAATAATATCAAATAAAAAAAATTAGAGATTTTAAAAAATTATATGGAGGAAAATTTAAAAAATTGGAAGGAGAAATGTATATTTATACTTTACTAATTTTATTTGCAATTCTGCATATTTAAAAAAAAGTTTGACTAAAATCCAAAAAAAAAGTTTCCCAATTTGGTCACTAATGTATAAACAGACAACACTTACACTAGCAAGTTATATCAGTTTTTGAAACAGAAACAAAAACACCCACATGCTCAAGGATATGGAACACGAGGATCACACACGCGATGAATGCATTAGTTCTTAAATAAAATAAAATTAAAATAAAATAAAAAAAGAAAATACTTATATAAATAGACCCATGTAGATGAAGTTTCATAGCAAAATACATATAGCATAATAGAAAGAGAGTTGATGATGAACATGAAGACTATGATGAAGTTAGCTTTGTTGATTTTTCTCTTAGGATTCTCCGCAACCGTTGTTCATGCTCGTTTCGATTCAGCTTCCTTCGTCAATGAAGTGCTCTACAATGGTAGCAAATACACAACACCATGCTGTGATTCTTGCATTTGCACTAAATCAATTCCTCCTAAGTGTGAATGTCATGATGTTGGAGAAACATGCCACTCAGGTTGCAAAAATTGCTCTTGTTATTTTGTTGAACCACGAGAGTGTAGTTGCGATGATATCACTAATTTCTGTTACAGAAAATGTAACTGACTATGTTAGTATATACCATGCATGTGATGAAACAAAGTCCATTAGGATCTGTTTTTAATTAATTATGTGTATGGATATAATTAGTCCAATAAAAGTTACTCCTTGACCATACATGGAGTTTGGTTCAACTATTTGTCTTTAATCATTTTTTAAATTCTCTCTTTCTTTGCTTAGTTAGAGTGAAAAAGAGAAAATACAAATGTTATTACTTGTAAAAGTTGAGAGTATTCCTAGTATTTGCCTTATTTATTTTACTTTACAAACTTAATTTCAGTTAAATGTTTAAGACTGTGGCTTATAGTGTTGTAATCATAAAAAAAAATGACAATGCTAATATGGAAGAAAATGGGGGTGGATAATAATAAACACAAACAACTCTCGCAGAATCAAAACATCAGTGCAAAGTGCTATTGTCAGAGATCACCATGATGGGTTTTTTTGATAATTTCTTTGTCAATTTGGGTGAGGTGAATGACTAGAGAGAAGAAATTATTACGATTATGATAGCAAACCACTATAAACCCTAAAATAGTAATTCTAAATAAATGGCTTAATCTCAAAAGTTTTCCAAACATTTGGCCAAACTTTTTCCTTTTCCTGCTCTCAAACTATCATAATTCAGACAACCTTTTTGTCCTCTTCAATTTTCTTGTTATCCTCATTCCATGCATCTTTAGGTTTGAATTATACTACATCATTAACAACAGTAGTAGGTATGAAGGGTTCTTTTTCAACCCCATTTCAATCTTTTACGCTGTGAGATTTAATGAACAGTTTCGTTCGTATTTTCTAGAAATCGCGGTATTCACCGGTAAAACAAGGTGGTATGTTTATACTAAAACCTTTACCTAACAAGGGTTTAGAGGTAGTTATTTATACTAGATCTAGGAATAATTTAGCTAACCCTCGCTATGATGCAAAATGCAAATATTTGATGTAACATAAGATGAGGTGAATTAGAATTGTTAGATTTTTCTTGCTTAGGCTCTGAATTTATGATAATGTAAATTTGTTGGAAGCAGTGTTATGTTTATGTATCTTGTTCAAAAATTATAATTTAGAAATTTAAAATGCGGAAAATAAATATGACACAATAATTTTTTTGGTTTATCTTTTCCAAATAAAAGTTAGTCCACTCTCTCTATCTGCTTAGAGGATTTTTCACTATGATTAAAATTTGTGCACAAGTATCATGTAACACCCTTTATCTTTTATAATTAATTGTGAATTTTGTGAATTATGTCGTTGGGTGTGTTAGAATATTGGTGGGAATATCAGCGTTGAGTGAGAAATTGTTGATAATTAATAAATATTAGTTTATGTGGTTTATTAATAAATAATAAAATAAAATAGAATAATGGGATGAGTAGATGATGAATTGATGTTGTGATATGTTTATTTCCCTTAATTGATGTACCATATGATATGATATGTTGGGTTTGCTGGAAGTCAAAACTTGGGGTTTGGGGTCAGCTGCAAGGCTGAAAAATAAGAGAAATCACATGGAAAAGTCGTTTTCTAGGCTCTATTACGGCCTGTAATAACCATTACGGGTGGCCATAAGAGCCCTCTGGATTTTGGTACCAGAGGAGTGCGAAAAATAAAATTCTGAGATGCATTGGAAATATAAGAGAAAGAGTTACAAATTTTATGTTGAAGCCAAAAGTTGATTCAAAGTACAGAAGTCTCAAATACTTAGTTGAAGCTCAAGTATTTAGTTTTGGGCCTTTTTTTTTTTCCGACCCGGTTGGGTTAGAACCCAAATTTTATGTTTTGCCTATACCTAGCAGCAACGAGTACTGTTCATTCCTCTCTCGATTTTTCTTTCACGATTTATTTTCTAAAGTTTTTGCACGTTTGTAATGGAGAACTAATCCCTAAGGCGAATTCTGTTGCTTACTGGTTTCATCGTTTTGAAGTTATTTTAATTCCAATTTAATTTTGATTTTTGTTCAATTCTTTCTATGAACTCGTTTGCTTAACTTGATTGTTGCTCATAGGATATAATTGATTAATTTTGAGTGTTGCATTTTCCTAATGTTAATCGCGTGTAAGCATAGCTTCTTCATTAGCTTCGCCTAATCTTTAAACCGTCATGCTTAATGGGGTAAAAAATAACATAATTCACTTGATATTGATAGCGCTTTTCTAATAGATTTCATAATCGAATAGGATCAAATCGGTTTAGGGGATTGGAATTACAATAGCCGATGATAAGTCGGAACCCGAATCAGTAGGAATAATTGTTTTAGCTTATTTGATAATCACTTTCTGTTAATCTATTTTCTTAATCGAAACAAACCCCCATAATTTCTTCAGTTGGTAAAAATCATACAAAAATCCTTGTGATACGACTCGAGTCATTGTCGATAACTACAATTTTAAAATTACTTGTTTTGATCTATGCGCGACAACATATCAAATTGGCGTCGTTGCTGAGGATTCTTTTTGTTTTTAACCGTTAATTGAGTCATAGGTGTCATTGTTGTGTTTTGGCCCCGCCGATTTGCTATTTTGGCCAATTCGCGTCCGGACGTACAACCTTGTCTGCAAACACGGTTTTCAAAAAATTTTGTCTGTTTCCAAATTTGTTCCCTCATTTTCCTAAATTCATCTTTTTTTCTAATTTTTATGAATTGTTTACTCTTTTCATAGTTTCGAAAACTTCTAAAAACAATCTCAACATTCTTATTTATCTTAATTAGATCAAATTTCATGTTTTTGTATTTTTCTGAATTTATTTTAATCGTTTTTTTGCCTTACATTTGTTACTGTTTATTTGTGACATTGTTGGTATTTTTGTGTTTGTTGTTACATGGCTGATCAAAGAACATAAAAGAGAGCTTGTTGTTTCTGATGTTAATTATAATGGTTTGTGTATCGAATATGCTGACGTTACTATTCTATTTGAATTGAAAAATGGTTTAATACACTTGTTGCCATGGTTTTATGGTCTTGCAGGTGAGGATCCGCATAAGCATCTGAAGGAATTCCAGGTTGTTTATTCTACACCATTGAGACTTGAAGGAATAACAGAAGACAATATCAAACTGAGAGTTTACCCATTCTCACTTCAAGGAGCTGCAGAGGATTGGTTGTATTAACTTCAACCTAACACCATCAAAAACTGGAATGACCTAAAAAAACTGTTTTTTGAGTAATATTTTCTTGCCTCTAGAGCTGCATCAATCAGAAAAGAAATGTGTGGTATCAAATAGGACAAAGAATCATTGGTAGAGTACTGGGTGAGATTCAAACAATTAGTATACAGTTGCCCTCAACACCAGATTACCGAGCAGTTACTTATTCAGTACTTCTACGAGGGATTGCTACCAATGGATAGAAATATTCTAGAAGCTGCTTGTGATGGAGCACTTGTTGATAGGACTCCAACTGCTGCCAAGGCCTTAATTGAGAACATGTCACTTAATTCCCAACAGTTCACAACTAGAAACAATTCTACAATTCTGAAATGAGTGAGTGAAACCCAAACTTCTTCTTTCAACCGGGCCTTAGAAATCAGACTTCATGAACTTACCTCATTAATCAAACAGTTGACAGTAGGAAAAACTCAACCAAAAAAGTTATGTGGAATCTGCACTTCCCCTTAACATCCAACAAATTTGTGCCCCATCTTGCAAGATTATTCGGTTGATAAATTGCCTCAAGCATATGCATCAATTCTTTACAATCAAGGCAACATTCCTGACTTGTTCACTAATAATCACTATCCCAATTAGAGGAACCATCCAAATCTTCGATATGGGAACCCCCAAGCACATAACCCCCTACAAGTAACCACATTTTCACCCTCTGGACCTTCACTAGGGGACCTTGTCAATCAAATGGTTGTACAAAATCTTTAGTTCCAACAAAGAACTGATTCTAGCATTTAGACGTACAAACACAGATTGGACAACTTACCACTTTAATGAACACCATGCAGCAAGCCAAGGATCGAACCAACTAACTGCCCAAATAGTAGTGAATCGTAATGTGAGTGTAATCTCCTTGATTTCCAGAAAAGTTGCAGAACCAGCCCCAGAAAAAAATTAAAAAGTTCTTGAGGTAACACATGAACCTCTTATTGTTATTGAGGTTGAAAAAGAATATGTGCCATAAATCCCTTTCCCACATAAAGTAGCTAAAACTAAGAAGATGAAAGAGGGAGATAAATAGAGGGATATTTTAGATGTATTCAGGAAAGTTGGGTGAACATTCCACTCCTAGATGTGATTCAGTAGGTTCCGAAATATGAAAAACTTCTGAAAGAATTGTGCACACACAAGACAAGGAAGAAGGGAAATGAGAGAGTGAATATGGGAAGAAATGTTTCAGCCTTCATTCAACCTAAACATGCACCTGAAAAGGCTAATGTTTCAGCCCTCAATCAGGCCATGCCACAGAAATGCAAGGATCCAAGAACTTTTTCTATTCCATGTACCATTGGGGATAGTAAATTCAGAAATTTCATTCTAGACATAGGAGCTTCCACTTATGTTATGCCTACTTATGCTTATAAAAATATTGATCTTGGACCTTTGCAGGATACATGTTTAATTATTCAGTTGGCGAACATAAGCAATACTCACCCTATAAGAGTAGTAGAAGATGTGCTTGTCCAAGTTAATGACTTTCTTTTCCTGCAGAGTTTTACATTATGGACATGGCATAAGAAAAAAATTCAAGCAGATCAACAATCATTTTAGGTAGACTGTTCATGAAATCGGCAAAAATAAAAATTGATGTTGATGATGGAACATTGTCTATAAAGTTTGGTGATATCGTTGCTAAATTTAACCTTTTTGATGCTATGAAGCATCCCGTGGAAGAACATTTTGTTTTTCACATTGAAGTACTTTCTTATTTGGTTTAAACTTATTTTCCATCATTGTCTAACTTAGAGGATACTTACTCATGTGATACTTGCTTTGTTTGTGTTGAGATAGAGGTTTCCCTGCAGGTTGACATTGTTCCTGCAGATGAAGTTATTGATGAAGAAGTTGCCTATGCAGCTGAAGTTCTCGATGTTTCTGCTGCCCCAACTACATCATTCAGTGGACAACCACTTTCTTTAGAGCCTCAATCACTTCTTGGATATTTAAATTATTCTTCAATGATTAAATTTGAGCAGGAAGAGAAATTAGTGCAGGAACATAAAAAAGGAATTGGATGGACTTTAGCTTACATTATTGATATTACTTCATCCATTAGTATTAAAAGGGTACCTTAAGATGATACAAAGGACAATGGACTCTACCCGGAGCTAATCCATGAGGATCCCATTTTGGAAGGAGAGACTGTAGAAGAGAATTCAATAGCAAAGGTTGTTTATGTGATGACCTATCCTCCTTGACTACTCGGTTGCGTTCTTTCCTTTGTCTCACTCTTATTTAATATTTATGTCCTTTCATTGAGGACAATTCATGTTTTATGTCTGGGGGAGGGAACCATTTCTTTGTTTTGTTTTCTTTCAGTTTTGTTTTTTGTTTTTTTTTTGTTTTCTTTAAGTGAAAAATATTTTTTTTAAATGTTTAAAATGCATCTTTTAAAAGTTTTAGGCTATAGATTAATTTGAGATTAGATTGTAAAAACATGGAAAAAATTTACAAGATCGGTATCATTTTAACACCTTAAGTCTTCAGAATATGAAAATCAATTTGAATACTTGTTATGACATAGCCTTGAGTTCTCATCTTTTAATAGCTCTTAAGTAGTTTATATAGCAGTCAACACCATCTAAAAATCACATGTTAAGTAAGTAAGATAATGCAAATAAGTGAATGATCTTGTGCTTAATAATAAATCTTAATTGGAATTCGCCTTTTAAGATAGGTGACCCTCATCCGGTCACTTAGCGTAACAGTTGTGAAACCTTCAAGAAAAAATTTGTTGTTAAAGCGGTTAATTTTGAAATTTTGATAAGATATGGATCATATTCCCTAACAGGCTTATTTACCATGAGTATGAATAGATAACATGCTTAATGTGATTGCATAATAATGAAAGAGAGCAAAAAGGAGGATGAGTAAGTTAGGCTTAAGCATAATAACATGATTTAGATTGGTTTGTATATAAGGGAGACTCGTGATCTCACAATTGCAGATTTGTGTTCTTACGATATCCTCTTTGTGAAAGATTAGTATATATCGATACAATCTTAACCAAATAAGACTTTGTAGCTTAGAATAAGTATCTGAATGCTATTGTTTTTCATAAGTATTGATACTATTTTGCTCGAAGGGCAAAAGTTCAAATGTGGGAGAATTTGATCAGTGTGTTTTAATGTATATTCTTCTACTATTGTACTTAGGCATTTCATTAGTTTTCTTTGTTATTTTTACTATTTTATTTTGTTTTTATATATTAGTTTATTTTTGGCTTTATTTAATTTTCGTATTTTATTTTTAGCATTAACTGTTATTTGAAACATCTTTATTGTGTAAACCATAACTCGAGCTACGGGAATCAGATTGACGCATTATGAGATGTGTTGGAAAGCTAAAAGAAAGAGCTATCAATTTTGTGTTGAATCCAAAAGCTAATTCGGAGTGAAGTAGTCTCAAATAATTAGTCGAAGCTTCAAGCTTGAGAAATATTTAGTTTTTGGCCGTGTTTTTTATGTTTTTCGACCTGGTTGGGTTAGAACCCGAATTTTTTGTTTTTCTTATACCTAGAAGCCGCGAGTACTTTTCATTCCTCTCTCGATTTTACTTTTCAATATTTTTTTAAAGTTTTTGCACGTTTGTAATGGAGAACTAATCCCTGAGGAGAATTATGATGCTTACGAGTTCCATCCCTTTGAGGTTATTTTAATTCCAATTTAATTTTGATTTATGTTCAATTCTTTCTATGAACTCGTTTGCTTAATTCGATTGCTTTTTCTTGCTTAACTTGATTGCTGCTCATAGGATAGAATTGATTAAATTCTATTGTCGCATGTTCCTAATTTTAATCGTGTACTGTTAACCTAGCTTCTTTGTTAGCTTCGCCTAATCTTTAAACCGTCATGCTTAATAAGGTAAATAGGGAAATAATTCACATAATATTGATAGCACTTTCCAATTTATTTCATAATCGAATAGGATCTAATCCATTTAGGGTATTAGAGTTACAATAGCCAGTGATAAGCTGAAACTCGAATCAGTAGGATTAGCCGTTTTAGCTTATCTGATAATCACTTTTTGTTAATCTATTTTCTTAATAAAACAAACCCCCCATAATCTCTTCAGTTGGTTAAAAATCATACAATAATCCTTGTGATACGACTCGAGCCATTGTCGTTAACTACATTTTTAAAATTACTCGTTTTGATCCGTGCACGACAACAAATCAAGCATTATGATTCGTAACATCCATTGCGGGCGGGGGGGGGGGGGGGGGGGGGGGGGTAACAGCTCTAGGGATTTTGTGTTGTGAAGTCTTTTTCGCCATGACTTTGGCTCCGTAAGTCCAAATCGAGCATCATTTGAAGCGTTAGGAAGCTAACGCACAGAGTTATAACATGATAGAGTAATCATTTGAGTATTATTATTATGTCTCCTATGTTTATGAAGTTTATCGTTTGCATGTTCTGCTAATGAATTATTATATCGTTGTGATAATATGATGTTATTATGTCTTGTTATGATGATGAATTTTGATGTTTTTATTATGGTCACTATAACAAATAACGCATCTACATCGGATGCGAAATGCGTTTTACCACGGCATCTGAGGTGAGGTAAATGAGGTCTTCATGAAAAGTAACAACTTATCACCTAGGTGTTTAAAACACCGAGGTAATATTTTTTAGGTCATATGTTGGAACCCTCGTTTCTGCACTTTAATTATTTGCAAAAACTAGCGTATTTTATCTAGGTTTTTTAAGAAAATCGAGGGGTTTTTTTATTAAAAATCATTACATTGTTTACCCAGAAATTCAATTTTTTTACACAGGAAAAAAACTAATTATCCAGAAGATCATCTATTGGATCTTTAATTCCTTGATATCTTGGGCAAGATCAAATACTGGGAAATTAATTTCATGAAGACCTTGATTTTATACCAACAAAAAAAAGGGTTAGGTAAATTAATTTCATGAAGACCTAGATTCTAGATCTTCAAATCATATAATTTTAGGGTAGATCAAATGCTAGGTGCAAGGAGATCTTCAATTTCTTTTGTATGCGTTTATTTTTTATATGAATAAAAAAGAGGGTTAGACACAAAAAAGGGTTACATAAATAAATAATCTTTTGCTCAAATAAATATTTAAGAACCCAAACCTTAAACCTAAATAATGTTCTGCTCTTGTAATCCATCATAGAGAACTCTTCATAGAAAACACTCTTGCAAATCTTAAACTCTTCATGATGTTACAATTCTTTAGAGACACAAGTCTTGATATTCAGAATGTTTTAATAATGAGAGGCACGATAGAGGTTTTTTATGTTTCACGCAGATCACTAATGGTAATGTCTTGAGCGTTGATAGTCATGAAATGAACGACAAGGAATGGATTAAGGATTTGATAAATGTCATCAATTTTAACGCTAAATTTCCCTCGGTTTTTAGAAAACCGATGAGTTAGAACATTTAATTTAAAAATGAAAAATACAATTAATAGAGAAGTTAGAACAACATGGTGGCGCTCATTCACTGAAATTATATAACTAGAATATCAATGATCATCTTTTTTTTAAATTCGTAACGTCTCTTTTAGATTATCAAGAAGGCTTTTGAGCTATTTAAATGTCTAATTACCAACTCATTGATTCAAAGTCTTTTCCTATTTTCAACGTCTCATTACCAACTCTTTGTTTCATTTTTCTTATCATAAATGGATGCAATTTTTTTGTACGTTATCAATGAAAACTATGTTAACTTCAATGATATCGAAGGTAAAAATAAAAAATTGAGAGAAGTTGTTAACAAACAAAAGTTGAGTGGTCACTTTAACATTCTACATGACCCTATATACACTAACCTTATTAAGGAGTTCTAGATGAATGCATCCGTTGTGCCAGCTGGTCATAAAGAAATCATCCAGTCATATGTCAATGGGGCTCATTTTTTCATTACTCCATCACTGGTTGCTTTGAAAATCAAATGTGAAGAGTTTGGTAGTTGTGTTGAACATTATGAATTCAACAGTGTCTATGCAAACCACCTTCACCTACTTTATACCAACAAAAACAATCTCTCTAGTCCTGCTTATCTACGCTCTGTTTCAAAATTTTGGTTTCAACTTCTAGTGTCAAATCTCCGCCCAAGAGAGAAACACATGGAAACGCTTACTTGGTATGAAAAGCATCTCTTGTTATTCCTCACCTACAACATGAGAGTTAATCTTCCTCTTACCATTTTCAACTTCTTGAAGAAAATGATAGAGACTTCTCGTAAGGAAACCACTTTCGTCATACCTTATGGAAGAGTTATTTATGAACTTCTCAATAAGATAGGGATGATTAGGGGTGATGTTATAGTTGAGTGGACTGAGAAGTTTGAATTTGTTGATCAGTTTTATTTGTTGTGTTGTTTTTTAACTAGCAATGAAATATTTCAATTTTACTATTGTCTATTATTGTTTAACCCAGTTTTTATGATAAACCGTTGAAAAAGTTATAAATGCGACAAAGATGATTCGAAGCGAGGTTTCTTATAGAGATATTACTTCGGTTCTAAAACAAACACGAGATAACAAATTTATTATTATTTTATAAATTAAAATAGGTGCTGACTTATAATTGTGTTACTTCGGTTGTTTATAACACTGACGTAATATGTTTATTATCTTATTAATTAAATAAAACATTGCGCTCCCAGGACATAATCTCTCATTTTTTAGCTTGTTGTAAATGAAATATATGTCATCAAATGTATTATTTGTTGTAGTGGGTGTTTATATTGATTATGATATTGTGATGATTTCATAATATTGTTGCATGCCCAAATATATTGTTGTGAATCTTGTTGTGAATTACGACAAAATTCAATATCAATTTGTGAGGCAAATAATAGTAGCAACCAAAATAAATAGCCTACAACAATAATAATTCATACACAGACAATATAACAGAATAAGGTGAGAGAAAAGACGAAGGTTTGTTTACCCAGTTCGATCAAACGATCTACTCTGGATAAGACAGCAGCTGTCCGGTTCACTATACTCAGAAAGTTGTTACAAAAGATTAAGTTACAAGAAAATACACTTCACCTTCAGGTTCCAAAGAAAAATCCTGAAGGCACCCA